TACGCCTTTTTTCACTTAGTATTAACTGCTTAAAGTTTTTGTTTATATATGTATAGTATTTTTTTTAATTAAATTCACATATTATGAAAATAAAAGCTAGCAATCTTTTTTATATCTATAAAAAAATAATGTTTTATTTAAAACTAGCGACTCACCCTCGCTTAGGTCGGGTTTATTTATTTATTAGACTACCAATAAAGTACAAATTAAAAATATTATAACATCACAAAAAACAAAACAGCTAGAGTAGTTCCTTAGTTATGGTGATAACGACAATCAAAAATATAGTATATGTAAATGCAAAACAACATTTAGAACATTTAGGTTCGTCCCTACTACCCTAGGTACGTTTTGACGCATAGTATGGAATAAATAGACTATATACCTACCTCCATCGGTATGATGAATTTTGTATACATTACTTTAGAAATGATTGATTCCTGATACAAATTGTATATCATACATATCGTCATCTCAGTGCTTATTTGTCCAAACGGCTAATTTACCGTAAGAGTTTTTTTAATACATAATTATTCACTTTAAAAATGTCAATTCTATTTATTGGATTCTTTTTTTTGAACTATATAAAAACTTAAAAGATAAAAAAAATGCCAAAATGCCAAAAATATTTTTTTTTGATATTTTTTTTTTGCAAATGTTATCAGTAACGAAATAACCGCAAACGCTATCCCAGACTCGCGGGACTGGACTCGCCAATTGACGAAATTATATTTTTTCACAATTTTAACTTGAAAAAAGGACCTTCCCAAAACTTGTCGCCAGCTCTCGGGCTATATTGATATAAAATGTATAAGGTTTAAAATAGAGAAAAAACTCTCCACTATAAAGTACAAAAAATATTCGGTTATTTAGAACAAATAAGCACTAAGACGACTAATTATACACTAATATCTATTATGTAGCCTTTTAAAATATTGATTTTGATACTAAAATTTTCTCTCCCTTTATTCACGTATGGAGAAATCATAAGCGTATTATCACTTTACCTTGTACCTGTCTTTATTGCCATGCATAGCTATAACAGTACGTTACGAATGAAATAAGTTGCATTCACCTTCATATTTTATAAGTAATGCTAAAATGGTTGGATAATTGTCAACACTTACAATTTATATGTATACATGAGTGTTTATAGACTTACATAAGCTTTTAAAGAGTATGAATAAATTAAATATAATAGCATTATATAGTATAATAATATATAAATTTGTAAATAAAACATACTAAAGTGTTACCAGAACACAAATAAAATACTGTAGGAGGAAGATAAAATAATTTTCCTGCTGCCATCTCTAAAAACTTTTTAGATCCAACTGCCTGGAAAAAATTCAAATTGGATGCAAATTATTCCTGTTAGTTACAAGTGTTGACTGACGTATATACATACATTTCGTATATTTTTTTTTATTTAATCGGTTTAGAGAATGCTGTCACTATGAAGAACATATTTTTAACCGACTTTCAAAAAGGAGGAGGTTCTCAATTCGTCGGAATCTTTTTTTGTATGTTCACCGATTACTCGAAGACGCCATAACCGATTTGGATTTTTTTTGTTTCAAAGGGTATCTTCTCAGGTGGTCTCATATAAATTCTATCGAAATCGGTCAAGCGGTTTTTCTTTAAAATAAACAAAAAAAAGTTTTTCAAGTAAATTGCTGAATCGAACATGTTATTAAAAAACTTTCTTCGAACATTCTCATCTTCGAACAAATTACTTGCTTATTACGTCTACACTAAAAATGGACAAATAAAAACTTAAAAAAAAGTAAATAAAAAACGATTTCCAGGCACTAAAATGTAAAAAATAACTAAACGGCGGTTTTCATTTAGAATAGATATCAAATCAGATACTTTCGAAGTCGGTGCCAGCCGACAATATTTTTTATATTAAATCGAAATATATTAGATTTGCTTTGCATCGGCTGGCACCGACTTCGAAAATATATGATTAGGTATCTATTCTAAATGAAAACCCCCGTTTAGTTATTTTTTACATTTTAGTGCCTGGAAGTCGGATTTTTTTTTAAGTTTTTATGTCTAATTAAACTAGAGTAACTATCTATGTATGTAGCGGTGACTCGTTTTAAATACATTGTTGAATATTAATTGGCCATAATGATAAACAAAGAGTTGTATTTACACAATGTACGGTTATAGATACCGATGTGTCTATTAAGTAATGAATAACTTATAAATTATTTTAACCTAACATTAAATAGCTAATTAAATAGAATTTAATTGAATTAATATTTCTTTGTTTTTATTTTAAATTATTTTTAATTTTCATGCTGGTTGATGCTCAAGTACCAATTAACTGAATGGCTTAGAGAACTGAGTGCGGGCCCCTAATAACATATCAGCGCAGCAGCTCAAGATATTGGACCTATAAAATCCTACTAAAATATATCTGATCAAGTATTCCAGTTTATTATACCTAATTGTAATAAAATCAAACATTGCCGTAGAAAAATAGCTGAGTTCATTAAAAGCAGGAGAAAGAAAAATATTATGAAAGCTATTTACTCTTAGTTGATCCTCGAGCGCAAAAACACCCATTGAATAGAAAAAATATATTTATGTATATAATTCTTCTGTGAGTGTGTATGTCACTGAACTGGACCGATTTTGATGAAATTTTTTGTGTGTGTTCAAGGGGATCTGGGAATGGTTTAGATTCACAATTTGAATAATAATTTTCATCAAAAAAAATATTAAAAAAAGTTTGAAATTTTCAAATTAAAGACGTGTAGACAGGACAACGTCTGTCGGGTCCGCTAGTATTTATATATATCTTTAAGATAACCTTGATGAATGTATGAATACATTTAATTTTTCAAATAAGGTTCTAGTTATCCTAGAAGCCTATAACTATAATAATATTATAAATGTGAATGTAACTCTGTTCACGTTTAAACCGCTGAACAGATTTCGATAAAATTTGGCAAGGACATAGATTGCATCCTGGGGATGGACCTATACTATTTTCGATCTCCGCCTCTCTTAGGCACTACTCGAGCGACGCTACGGGTAAAAACTAGTACTATTATTTTAAATAAAACTATCTTTTCGGATTATTTTGCGGGCTAATTTTGATTTTTGGTGCCTGACAAGTATATAATGCCTAAAACCTTAGTCTGTCCCGTGACCATGATTGCTGTAAAGCATTCGAAACGTCGATAACCAAAATCAAAATAAATCCGTAAAATAATATAAAATAAAATGTCAAATATTCGCGTAAATCTAAGAAAGTTTTGGTATTATTATATGCTAGTGTTTGTTTGTGACTCTGTCTGCAGCGTGAATGTACTTCGATGCAAGTAGCCTTATATTTGATTCATGATTCGGGATGTAAGCTATTTCCAATATAAAGTTCACTTTATCCCGCTAAACAGTACAGACTACAGAGAGAAGACGTAACAACCATACACTCTTGTTTGGATACTTAATACCATAAGTACCTGGGCCACCAAGCTTCGCTCGGAGTTTTTGGCCAAAAAAAAATTAAAAAAAAACAAACTAAAAATTTGGATAAATACAAAAAAAAACAAAAGTAAAAACTTTGTATCCGACCGGGATACGAACCCAGACACCTGTGCTTGTCATACTTTTTACCGCGGGAAAATATCTCATCTTTGAGAAAAAATGCAAAAACTGCAATGTAAGAGTATACTAATATGTAAAACCTAAGAATTTGGTTTTTGGTCATCTGAACGCGGGCGGAGCCGCGGGCAATGCTAGTCATAAATAACTTTATTAAATAGTTGCCTTTTTTCAGACGACCTTACGCATTTATATTATAATTTACCTTTCCTCTAAAACCTTTATTATGCAGAGAATATATCAAATTTTTATCAAAGCAGGTAACAGGAGATATTTTATCACTCATGACGGCGAAGACTCCTTACATAGTGAACCGTTATCAAGTACGGATGATGGATGATATATGAGTCTTGCAAATACAGTGCTGATACATTATTTATTGATTGAAACTGCTTTCGTTACAAAACACTTTAACCTATTTCTTGCTTTATACCAACATTTACTTTAAATCTATACATATAATAAGATTCTAACTATAAATTTATTCAATGTAAAGTCGAATCTGTACATTAAATATTTTTTGGAAAATCTTATTGAAATAGTCATTATTATCGATACAGAAGCCGAATCTAATAGTTTTTAGAATTTTTGTCTGTCTGTCTGTCTGGGAATGCATCACGGGAAAACCACTGGATAGATTTTGATGAAATTTGGTATGATATCTGGTTATACGGCTCAACTTATAGGATAGGATTAAGTTTTCACAAATCTGCCTAATATTACTATAATATATTATTGGAAAGTTTGTATGTGTGTGTATGTCTGTTACTTTTTCATGCTGATGATGATAATGATGCTCGTGTTTGGCACCCAGGGTGCACACATCCAAGTGAAGAGGTATAGGTAATTCGCTAATTAATTGTAAAGAACATCGCCTTGGTACTCTAGTGCTAGCATGTACGGCGGCAAATCCGGGGGTCCTGGGTTCGAATACCGAGTTAGGCTAAGGTAATCAGTTTTCTATTAATAAATTCTCAGTTAAAGCCCAAGATTGGGAAGTTGGCACTGTTTCACCCTCGTATCCGAAATCGGTCAAGATTTATAAACAAACATTGATGCAGTCTGATTGAACTAACAACCTTAAACATTCTAGGCAAGGAAAATGCATTCAGTATTCGACACGAAAAGAACACCTAAAGTTTATTTATGTGAAATATACGACAACTAGCTTTTAAACTCATAAAAATTAATTATAATATAACTATAAAATTAGGTAAACAAAACTTCTCATTATCTAAAAGTATACACTTAAAAAACCAACAAAAGCTAATAATTTTCCTTTGTGCTAATACAACGCGAGTGTAATTCATAAAAGCCAGAGTCTCGAGTCAAGACAAAATGAACAAATGCGACCTGTGTTAATTAATTCAAAAATATCACAGTACAATTGTTCTTAGAACAGGTTCTTCAGCTACAATATTTTTTGTCTTCAATGCTCTATATATCTGCCATTCTCTTAATGTTTTCACTTGAACTCCCGGCACGACGTTATCATCGAGATACTTCGCGTTATACAACTCAGCTTTAAATGTTTTCAGCTGTTCCTTTATGTATGTTATAGGTACTTTTGATATTGCTAGTAATCTTGGATTCATACCACTACCAAGATTCATTTCGTATAATTCGTATACCAAAAATTTATCATGAGGCTTCGGTTTGTTGAGGAATACCGCGTAATCTATCCCTACGTGCAAGAATCCTTGTAAATCGTGCTCAGATTTAAATCCGTCCAGGAATTGAAACAGCCTGTGCAATCGTACTGCGTCAGCTAGACCAACAATAAATAACACAGCAACAAGTATTTTCTGAAATAGAGATTTCGTATATATTTTATGGGCTTAGTTATTGAGAAATAAAATGTTGGACTTATAAATTTGTTTGAATTTACTTCGTGCGAGAAGTTAATACATTTTATTTAGAAGAAAAATAGTATATGAAGTTTTAAAATGTTATAGTTTCAATATATATTATGATAATCGATCAATATAAATATGTACTTTTGAACATTAAGATATAGAATAATCGTAGTTTCATGCAGTTAAACAAATGTAGAGCTTACAGAAAAATTTTATACTAACACCTCCAGGTAAATTTCTAAAACAATAATTAAAATTCTAAGAAATCTATTGTTAACTGACACGCCGGCGTGTCCGCGGCCGTGAAGGGACTAAATACTAATACGAAGTATTTCTCCTTAGAATAACGTCTTTTAAAAATACTTTACTGATTTTAATATAATAATATTATAAATTCGTAATATTCTAAATATTTATTCACAAAATAAATATAAAATGGTATTTTTATGTATGTATAAACAAATCCTGTTATTTTTACCTCAATGCGAAAGTAATCAATCTACACATGATACGCTTTCACTTCTAGTAATTCAATATGTAACATGCATTAACGAGTCCCGATTTTGGCCGGACCGAGTAACATATCGTAATACCATACAATATGGGAGTGATGCCAAATGTCATTAGATCGTAAAATTTGTAATTTCCGCTATTTAATTTCCGTGGTTGCATGCGCATATTTTATTATGACTTCACTACACTATGTGCTTGGCTTTACTTGTGAACGCATGTACTATAATAATCTATTCTAATATTATAAAGAGACAGAGTTTGTTTGTTTGTTTGTTTGTTTGTTTGTTTGTTTGTTTGTTTGTTTGTTTATTTGTTTGTTTGTTTGTTTGTTTGTTTGTTTGAACGCTCTAATCTCAGGAACTACTAATCAGATTTGAAAAATTCTTTTTCCATTAGATCGTGCGTTTATTGAAGAAGGCTTATGGCTATATACCATATAATATGTATATAGTCTATATATTCCATATTAACCGTTAATACTTACCCGACGAACCTGAGCGAAGCAAGGGTGAGTCTCTAGTAATAGTATATTTTTAATATAATACATTTTCAAATGGACTATGAAATGCTATAAGGTTTATATAAATCGGATTGTTAGTTCAAGAAATAAATGACCAAAGTAAATAAAAACATAAACTATTCAGCTTTGCAATAGTACGAGTATAGTTTTATTTGTGATATATTTTCATTTATAACATTTGTTTTGCATTTATTTCCGACTATAAGACGTATACGTCAAAAGGAGTATATGTAAGTATAGAATTTTGAGAACTAAGTAAATGAATTACTATAAAGAATGTCTTAAAGTATTCATTTAAAAATTACATTTATATGTTACTACAATATGCCATCCTAGCCAAAGAAACATTTTTTGTAGAAGATAATATTAATAATACTATATAAGAAATAAGATAAAATTTTATACAAGCGAAGTCGCGGTTAATGTCTATAGTTACATATAAATATTGTATATGGATAAATAAATGCTTTTTAAAAGATTTAAAACCTACCCAATTCATGATGACACGTTATTATATTAACTTAAAAAAATATTATTTCAGGAAGCGCAGAATTGTGAATCCACGCATCAAACCGCGTATGAATATTCAACATTTAGCCCGAATAAAAATCGACCAATATTTTTTTTATTTTTACGAGACTCTAAAAATTTAATGTGTCAAACAACGTAGTTTTATTGCCAATGCAATACACGCAGCAAAATTTTACATTTTGATTGTTTGTTTAAACGTACATGATTTCGATTTTCAAAATAAATTGTGCATTTTGTTTCATACCTATTAGTTTTAGATGGCTTCGCGTGCATAGTTTTAAACTACTATTAGAAAGATTTTAACCTAAAAACACGAAGAACGCTCCCATAGAAGGGCATATTTTTGAGGTGAAATTTATATTACGAGACAAAGCAGAGATACGGCGGCAGATCGCGAGGTGTTGTCTCGGGTTGAGCAAAAAGAAAATAAAATTATTTGGATTGTCTGTCTCTGTGGCAGCCAGGAGCTGAAAACTTGGCGATGTTATCCTATCTTTTTTTTTACGTATGCATTTCGCATTTACGCATGAGGTGTGGGACTCACCGGCAAAGTCAGTACTACCCACTAAAACCCAACAAAGCCTTCCACCGTCTTAATGGGGCGTCGCAGGATCGCTTACGCATTCAACTACGACGCCCCGACGGCAGGTCTGCCGAAGCAGACCACAACAACCATGGGGTTGCTCCAAGGTCCACTTTGCTATCAGAGAAGTACCAGGAGCAACCCGCATAGTACACCGCTCTCCGAAGAGGGCCACCTCCCACCGCCCACCGAAGTGGGCCACCTCTCTGTGCGTTTCTTAGCTTCGCGCCCGGCTGTATTGCCGGGCACTACTGAGCCGCCCCACCACGACAAGGTGAACTCACGCTGGGGGGGGGGGGGGATGTTATCTTATCTAGCCTAATCTCTCCCGGAGGATTGCTGTTCACCGGACACTATTTCTATATCCAATATCCATTGTTCTCGAGTATGATGAATAAAAGTTGAACCGAAAAAATTATATCTACAACCTTTCAATTTTGTATTTGTTACAACTTTCATTTACCATTAGGGTATATCGTAAAAATGAACCTATACCCACATTCCAAAGATTGGTAAAGAATGTAGAAAAAGGGTCAAAAGGTACAACTTACCTGTTTTTGTCAATATATATTTTATATATACTAGTTAAAATACTGACGTTCTTCTGCTCTTAATAGCATTCTATTATATATTATATAATTATATTATATTCTATTATGTAATTTTATTATTATCATTATCACACCACCATCTATCTGTTCATATTTATTGTTGTTTGTTGTCAGGAGCCTCACTGGACGCGATTATAACCTAGTCTGGTTAATGATCTTCTAAATGGTTTAGGGTTACATAGAAGATTAACAAACAAAATAAATATTATATTTTACATATATGTATTTTAAGAGATTTATCAATACTTTTTTATGTGTACACTCTTCTTTGAAACATACTTAAGCTGTCTTGAGCTTTATTTGAAATATAATAAGAAATGTACGCAGTTAGTAAAATAGGGCATAATATTATAAATTACTGGGAAGAATATCCACTCTTATGATTTTAAATATATGATACATATTTGCGTGTTTCCGCAAATTTTTTGGTTCTCTGTACATTCAGCTTGTTCTACATACAGGCGATTAAGCTTTGGTAACGTAATAAATTACTCCCGCTATTGTAATTAATAACCTGGCTATTAATATTTTTACTCATTAGGGCGAGCGTATGGAGCGAAATGGGTTTTAAAGGTGAGATCACACGTGCTTTAATCATAATAATACATGTGTTTTCTTAGGTTGGTAGAATTATACACAATATATCATACATCGTATTAATTATAATAGATGTGCGTACAAAGAATATTTTTTGTAAATTATTATTAAGGCTATTTTTGAACCGTTTTGAATAGATATTTATAGTTTTTAGGTAAAGTTTTAGACGTTTTTTTGTCTGTAAATCCAACGACATGTTTCTAAGTTGGATATACAGATTTCAATAATAACAATCAATCGGATTTATTTAAAAATGAAATATGTAACTTCAGGTCGGTACATGTTCATGACCAATAATTATTTAGTTTACAATTTTATTTGGTGTAAACTAGGTGGAAGTACTGATGTGGGTTAAAGCAGCTAATTTAACTACTTTCAAAAGGAGCAGGATCTAATCTTGAGTGTATATGGCGACACGTATGGCTCAGTTGTAGTGAACCTACTTGCTGTGCCAGCGGTCGCGGGTGCGAGTTCCGATGGTTCATTCATTCATTTGTGTGATGAATACGAATGTTTGTACTCCAGTCATGGGTGTTTATATTTATAATATGAATGTATTTAAAGTTATATTTATGTAGTATATCAACTATCTGGTATTCATAACTCAAGCCTCTTAGCTGACCATGGAACTAGACGGTCCTGTGTGTTAATGTCAAAAATATTTACATATTTATTTATGTGTGTTACACGATATCTTCACTAATTTAAGGATCGACCTTAATAATTATTTTTAAGATTAAGAAAAGTAAAATATTGTGTTCTAGAAAAAAAAACATTCTTAAGGCAGTAATTAATGCTCTAATAATTTTAAAATTGGTTACGTCTGTAGTTAAAATGTATATGTTTATTTCACTGTTGTAATGCTGGCTGGTTACACAGTGAATCTGACTGGTCAAAGGTACTCTCAGAGGATGCGATTGCTTATACATCCCATTTATCTTTATTTAATATTAATCCAACATTCTTAGTGTAAACTACCTTTATTCGGATGCTAGATAAGGGTCGACATCCCGAGCCGCAAAATTTATACTCAACGTTAAAGTACAAAAAGGAATATCTTTAAAATGCGACCATTTTGCAAATCAGGCCAAACTTTACAGTAATTACCTAAAGGGGAACTCGTTACTGACGCGTTAGCGGGCAAATGCGCTAACGTTTCAGATAGTAACTGAATTATTTTGTGGGAATCGATAGTGTTCAAAAGTATTAAGCACATCGATTATAAAATAATGCCAAAAATCAATAATGGCGTATATCCTTTATTATAACAAAAGTAATAAATGCAAGATTTACATCTATCTATCTACTCAGCAATTTTTTTAACGTCCCACTGCTGGGTACGAGCCTCCCTTCAATACGAGGGGGATCAGGCCATAGTCCACCACGCTGACCAAGTGCGGGTTGGTGGACTTCACATGCCTTTCGAAAACTTGTTAGGTTCTCTCAGACATGCAGGTTTCCTTACGATGTTTTCCTTCACCGTAAGGCAAGTGGTAATCATGTTAGAAATGATTCGCACATAAAAATATCAGAGGTGCGAAACCCGGGATTTGAACCGGCTTCAGTCTTTTTCCCAAGCGAGTGCGTTACCACTTGGCTGCCTGATGATTTTTTTTTGATTTGATGAGATTTATAAAAGTGAAATCTTCTTTTGTTTGACCGATGTATCAATATCAAAGTACGAATATTCTGTGCTCTATTTTAGTTTTTACTTATGAATCATCAATATTCGATTCACAAAATGTAAGTAAAAAGCTGTCTGCCGCAAAATTTTATAATAAAATACTTTTGCCCGCAGCTTTGCTAGAAATACAACCGAAAGAAGAAAAAAAATATATATTATATATTTGATAAAATAAATATTATAATCGAAAGCATTTTTGCTTATTTATAATCGATATCGATAAATAATTTTAACTGAATTATTTTAATGGGCGTTCAGCCTAAAGCATCTTCTAGATAGATCCGGGTAACATGAGCAAGATCGTAGGTCACTAGTCATTTATATTTTCATCACAAAGAATTCTCAAACGCCATAGGTATTTTCACAAAAATGTGTAATAAAACAGGAATGCTCTGACACAAGTCCGACTTTCTCTTACTAAGTTCTTATTTTCCGTTATTATACTCATAGTCCAATCGGAATCCGATTTGGGAACAAAATATTAAAAACCTGAAGTTTTTTGATTTTAAAATGTTAGCAGGTATATAAGGAATAGAAATTCGTAAAATGCCCCCGATGCCCCCCTACCCCCGAGAAATGGGATGCAAAGTGTTTAAAAATAGTTTTTTTTTTCAATTTCCGGCGTACTGTGACATTCTA